CATTCTATACTGTAAATTATAAGAACAAACATTCGTGACACTGAGTAAGGCCTTTTCACTGTCCTGCTGCTCATTAAGATGTAAGGCTGAGGATATATATCAGGTTTGTGAAACTGTCAAGGTCTTGACAGCCACACTCAGTTCAGTAGAACAGGTCACGTCACACACTGAGACAGCAAACTGGAAAGCCCAGATCATTCAGAGAAAGCATGGCAAAAAATAGAATGTGAATAAAGCAAGAAAGACGAGAAAGACTATCAGTTGCTTTTCTATTATCAGAAGAGATTGAAAAGCAGAAACTGAGAGTGACTGAGATTTGCTGCTGCTGTTTAAATGTAAGGTCTGTCATATGTAAAATTTCAGTGGTCCTTAATTTAATTCCAGAAGAGGCATCAGTGTCAGTGTTTGCCCATGGTCTGATCAGGAATACTTTGCAGTTTTGGCATTGTGGCAAAGCTGGCACTGGTCCAAGTTTTTTTTGCTATAAAGCACAAGGTGGACTCCCTCCCCATTCTCCAAACAGAAGCTTGATAGATGGCAGTGCCCACCACACAGATGAGGCCACAATCTGAAGCCAAGGACAAGCCACGGGACAAAGTTTTGCCCTTTGACAGAGGTAAGTAGCCATGGAGCTCAAGAGGAAGTGCTCCCAAACATCTGCTGCCTGTGGCGATCATCCTAGAATGCTTATGGTAGAATCAGTTTTGTAATATTGATCTACTTTTATCATATTGTATATGGCTGTATGCCTGTTTGTATGCCAGGAATGCAACTTCCTCATCTTGGAATCTTGGAAAGGTAGATTTCCCTGACTGGTACAGACCTCAAGAACAGGCTTACTGACTTGTACGAATCCTATTTGTACCCAGTGAGCATCTTTTGCATTCCAAATAGTATAAGTTTCTTGTTCTATCTGGAAAACATTTAATATTTCAGAGTTTGTAAACCTAAGCCTCCATCATAACTTTTGCTTATTTTACATTATTTGCCTCATTCTAGCTTGTTTTTATAAACATGTACGGGTAACCCTCACTTAAAAACCACTCGTTCAGCGACTGTTCAAAGTTACGATGGTGCTGAACGAGGGGACTTATGACCAATCCTCAAAGTTGTGGCTGTTGCAGTGTCCCCACAGTCACATGATCGCAATTCATGTGACTTGGCAACCAGCATGCAATTATGATGGTCACAGCGTCCCGTGGTCACGTGATCACAGTTTGCGACCTTCCCTATCGGTTTCCCACAAGCAAAGCCCATGGGGAAGCCAGCAGGAAGTTGCAAGACACGGTCACATGACATCTTGCTTAACAACCATGCGTGATTCGCTTAATGATGGCAACTGGAACTGCTGGAACTGCCGTCATAAATCAGCATGGTCATATGATTTTTTGCTTTACAACTGTGTCACTTAGCAACAAGTTGCCAAGTCACCTGGGATTTTATGATCATAGAATCAAGCAATTATTTTTTCCAGCTGATCTAGGATAGCATCTATGATGGCTTAATTTTTTCCAGTTCTTTGAAAACAAATGCTGTATACTTTGGAGGAAGCACATTTGTCATTATTGTTTCATTCCAATGAAGTTTAGAATATTACTTCTTATACTTCCTATGAATATGTTAGGTTGATTTCTTCCTAGAATTTTCCTGGATTTCATACTATTCTGAGTTTGGTGACTGCACTTAATTAATGGCAGGCTGAATTGGAAAATGCCTGGCTGACCTCAAGAATAACAATAGTAGCACCCAATGATTCTCTAGAACTACTGTGTGGAAAAGAAGACTTTATGGTATTACAATTGCAGAATTAGGTATTCTAATTGGCATTCACCTTGTGTGAGACATGACCAAATGCCAGTCCCAGAACTGGCAAATTAAATTCTACAGTGATACTCATCTGAGATCTTGCTTCCATCTGCTTTCATTAAGCCATGATAGTGGCAGAAAAATAAAAAGAAATCAAGCCTTCTGTTGACAAATGAATGACAATTCACCTTGTACTGGAGATGGGTTAGAACACCCTTCCCTACTGGTTGCTTCCCCAAGAACTAGAGATGTTGAGACTACAATTCCCAGAATTCCTAATCAGCATGGCCTCATACCTAGAAGGAACCAGATTGTGTTGCTGCTGACCCTGCCTGCTTTGAATTCTGAAAGCTGTGGTCCCAATAGCTGGAAGGCAACAAGTTAGAGAAGGTTGGGACAGAAAGAGGAGTAAGAATCTCTATGAACAACAGAAGCTAGATTGTAGGGATTGCTTCTCATCACCTTTTTCTGAGAGAGTGAGAGTATCCCTATTTGACTGAGATAAAGAAGATGTTACCCATGACAGTTTCTATTCCTTATTTATACAGAGATAAATTAAATGAAAAATATATTATGCATTTAAGTAATACTAGAACCTATTTCTTTATAAGTCATAACAAAATGCTTTTTAAATGTTAATTTGGAATC